AAGGAGAAAAGAATGATGCCTTTAATGAAATTGATAAATGTAATATTGTAAAAATCTACTTTAATAGCTTAATAAAGGTGGGATTATAATAAAAGGACTGAGATTTCTGGTAGAAAATCTGAACGTAAAGTATGTATAAAGAGTTGTACTTTAAGATATAACAAGAGATTAATAATGATTTTGTTAATAATAGGTTTAATAACAAGACAAAGCCATATATGATTGAAAGTTTTGTTTGATGTATTATAATAACAGCAATTCCAAGAACTATTGTAAAGATAAGGTTATATGATTTTAAAAAATTCAATTGTTAGAAGTTGTTCAAGTAAAAATTTGATTCTTCTACAATGTATACGTGATTTTTCAATGGAAGTAGTAGAAGGAGAACCTAGTTTGAAAAGTTGAAAAGTAAGTTTGTAATTAATTTTTAAATTAATGTATTTTTTATTTTATTTGAGTAAATAGTAGGTCATAAAGTGTTTTATTTGTAGGAAGTCTTTGATTAAAGGTCAAAAGGTAGTAAAAATAGGCATTTGTTCAAAAAAAAGAATATATTTAAAGTATGAGATGTGATTGAATATGATTGAAATAGGATAATGAGGATTTTGTGAATTGATCAACTTTGTCATTATATGGATCATTAGAATATGTTTTCACTTTAGTAAAAGTGAGCGAGATATTCTTTTCTTCAATAATTTTGAAAATAATGAACCAGTAATATTAAAGGAAAGTTTAAACATCAGTAAAAGGTATAAAAAGGTATTTTATCATTAGATTTTGTTTTAGAAGTAAATAAGGGCTAGACTATCTGTACAAATATTTAAATCTAAATTATGTAGACAAATAATAAGAACTAATAATAAAGCAAAAATTTCAGCATTAGTTGAATTAGATCAAATTTGGAAAAGAGCTGTGAAAAATTCTATATCTATATTATCATAGACTAAGAGTAAAGTAGAACTAATGTATGTAATAAGATTAATGTAGTCTGGCAAAAATCTATGTAAACTATCTATATAAAATAATAGGAACTTTTCATATTTCAATCTATTTTTAAATGAATTTAACAAGAAAACTGTGACAGGAGAATTAATAAAGGATTCTATAGTAAAATAGGAAGGACTAGTTAAATGTAAACTATTAAAGCTAGTTAGAGTAGGACATACTTTCATATAATGTTGAATAGTCTAATCTGAAATAGTTTTAATATTTTTTTTTTAAAAGGTATAATTTTTAGAGTTGACTGAGAAGAAAAAGGTTATAATAATGATTTGAGATAAGTTGATATCCATAATACTGCTACATTTAATTGAGTAATTAGTATAGTTAGGTATTTCTGTAGAGTTAATATTGAAGAAACATCCATTATATTCTATGAATATGTTGTTCTTTTTGAGGAAGATTTAGGATCATTTGAATGGTTTGTTTGTGAAAAGTGTTAAAAAATAATTTTGTCTTAAAGTTTTTTGACTTTGTAAAATTTCCTAAAGATAGTTTATCCAGGATATGGTAGATTGTAATAGTTGTTATCAGGGGATCCATAGGATAACCCAATTTACTAAAGTATTTGTATCATGTGAAGAAGATGATTTGTATCTAGCAGGTGAAAAATTTTGGATGCAATATTAGTCTTTGAGTTTGTTAAAATGTATTAGAATAATAAGAACTATTTTTTTAAGCAATATGAACCATTGAGGGTGAGTTTGATCAAGATGATTGCCCATAAATTGCTTAAGAGACAAATTATTAAGTTCTGATAAAAATATGCTATCACAAATCAGTTGTTCTAAAAAAAGAAGTTGTTTGTTTTTAAAAGAGCTAGTTTAGTTTTTCCTCTAAGATAATAGTGATAGCAGAGACATGTTTCCTTCTTATATTTTAAAACTTTCTATTGAATAAGAAAGTCTATGAAATGAAAAGAATTGTTTCAAATATAATGAAATTGCATTACTAATGAAATTATCATATTTAATGTTGTTAAATTGAGCAGGTTAACATACTAAGGGATCATCAGGTAGCTAATAAAATTCTTAAAGTTGTTTTAATCTAATCATAGAAGTAAGAGAAAGCAGTGAATATTTTGGATTTTTATTGATCATAATAGCAAAATGCTGTAGTTTGGATTAGATCATTATATCAAAGAGATCATTAAAGTTATAAAACAAGCTGCTTGTCAGAATACTGTTTGGTGATGATTTTGAAAATCTAAGTTGTATTTGATAAAGATTCTAACTTTAATAAAAAAGTATTGTATTCATTATGAAAGAGCACTATAAGTCTGATTCTATATTCTAAATGTGGAATCAAGACCATGTTGTATATATACTTGAGTTATTTATCAGTTAACAGTTTGAATTTAAGTTTAAGTATAAAATCAGAAATCTCATTGGAAATTTATTGTTTGATAAAGTTTTTGTTGTATGAAGCTGAGATTCAGACTCCAAGATAACAAGTTGATTCTGATAGTTTTAAAGTCAGAAAGGTGACATGCTTTTTTAGGTAGTTACTAAAAATGGAAATGTTATATGTGATTGATTCAGAGGTCAAAATAAAGGATTTATTATAGTTAACTTTCATAGAATTAAGATTAAAAAAGAATTGAGTGATATCAAAAATTGAGAACAAGTTTTCAATGCTATTAGTGATATTTAAGCAAAATGTTAACAATATAAAGTGGTTTTAGAGTCAATTAGTGAGGAAGACTAACAAAGTTAAGACCTTTGATAACATTGTATTTAATTAATATGTCTTGAAGTCATTAGTTAAGGATTTTAATAAAACTTTTCTAACAGTGTCTAAAAGGGTAATAGGTTTAGTATTATCTAAGTTATAGTTCTATAGCTTTGGTTTTAGAATAGAGTAAATGTATGCTAAGTTCCATTATGTAGGAGTAAAGCTATTAATAAAATATGCATAAATGATATTATAAAGAAAGTTCTTCATTTTAGAACCTAACTTTTTTAGCATTTCATTTGAAATCTGGGATAGATCTATAGCTTTGTAATCAGGAAAACTTTGATTATTATATTTCAATCATCAATTGAAGGGATGTCTAAAATATGTGAATAAATATTATTATCAATATTAGAGATAGGATCATAAAAGGATTTTCAATTATTCCATAAGTCAGAAGAGACAGGATCAGTAACATCATAGTTAGTAAATCCTACTATATTTTGAAAATTATTAGCTATTTGTTATTTGATGTTATCTGGTAAAAGTTCTAAATATTGGTCAGGAGAATTCTTATTGATTAGGAGGTAATCGATAACTACTACTTTTTTAGTTCATTTCAGGTAAGAATTAATTATTTTTGTGAGAGCATTTTAAAATTATTATTACATTGTTTTAAAAATTGGAGAATTTGTTCATTATTTTCAGTTCTAGAAATGATTTTTTGTTTTGCTTGAATGGGTTTTATAATGTCAAATTTAAGTTCTATATAAGGAAAAATGTGAAAATTATCATAATAGGTATTAATAAATGTGATAGATATACTGTAATGCACTGTAATCTTTATTAAATTCTGGTATTTTGAATAGGAGAGGGAAATTCATTTAAATTGTTATTTAGTAATAGTATAACTTTTTTAGTTGTAGTAATATTTGTATAGGAGTTTAACATAACAGTAAATAGTAGAGCTTGAGTGGAAATATAGCGTTTTGTGTTGGCTGATAAAAGTTTATTTGGGAAGATGCTTTTTTGCTGAAGTCATAACAGCAGCTGTGAAAAATTCACAGGCAGCATTGATGGTATTATATGAATAATCAAATTCTTGTGCTACTCTATTGACATATAAGACGTTCTGCTTGAGTAATAAATCAGCTTTGTCTGAGAATAAATCTCAATGTAAAAGAGTTGTTTTGTTATAGAGAAATGTTTGTTTTATGACTTTGTGCTATTTTAAAGAAACGTTTAAAAAATATGTAAAAAGATTATTTTTGAATAAAATAATGGATAAAGGCAAATAATTTTTGATATATAGGAAAGATGAATCACTGGGAATGTTAAATGAAATAAATTTATATGCTAAGTTTGTAAATATAAAAATGTAATCTAAATGAAAGTAGCTTAAGTTTGAGGCAGATCTAAAGGTAGTAGGATAGGTTAAGAGAAAAGAAGTAATAGTATGAATAAAACCTAAGTTAATAACCTAATGAAAAAAGCTTTGTAAAACTTTTTGACATTTAGAACGATAATTTTTTGAGATATCAATATTGAAATTACCTATTAAGATAACATAGAAATTATTTCTGCAACTTTGAATTAAAATATCTATAAGTTTCTTTTGAATTTGTATTCTATATCTGAATTAATGTTTATCTCTATAGGTAGCAAGAAGGTAAATTTGAATAATACATAATTTGATTTTCTTTTTATATTAGAGATCTACATATATAATTTGATCAAAAAAGCTTGTAGATTGTAAATGTATTTGCATAACTTGTTTCAGATTATAAGACTAACTCCTTAGTAATTATATTCTTTATTTGTATTGTGAAAAAAAATTTATAAGGTTTATCATGGTAATTGTAGTTGAGATGTTTAATTTAGTTATACAGTTATAGATGCCTGCCGAAACCTCCTCAAAATAATTTCGTCATACCCTTTTCTATATTTTTAATATAGTTTCGACAGTTTCGGCTTTCGTCGTATCGAATGGGTTTCGTCGTATCTCTTATTATGATTTTTAATATAGTTTCGTCTAAGTTTCGACTGTTATTAAGGGGTTTCGTCCCTCATCTATATATACAGTATATAAGATGTATTTCACTGAGTCCTATTATCAAATTGTAAGTTGGTGAAAAAGGATTCTATTTGTTGTAATTTGGTATTAGAGAAACAATTTTTAATATTATGCGTAATAATAGAAAAAAAGTTTGAGTTATGATTAAACATTGATAAAATGCATTTGAATTATAATTATTATTGTTAGTAGGATACGATGATGTTGTTTCTACAATATTATATTTTTTATTGTAGTTTATTATTTAGGAAAGTTAGTTATAGGTGTAATTTGGATAACCGTAGAGGTAACTAATTAGAGTTGGAAACTAAAAGTAAGCATCAATTCCTGTATTTGATCTATACAAGCTGAAAGGATATTATTATCACGTAAATGTATGGAAATTTCAACATTGTTATCAGTGTTTATAGGTGTTATATTTGAGATAGGAAGGTTTTGGATTGGAGGTTTGGATTGTTAATTCAGAATTTTTTTGATATCCTATTGTCCAGTAGGAATCGTTTCATCAACATCATCATCTGGTATTTCTGTAAAAAATTCAAGTCTTAAAAGATGATAATCGATGTCTTCTTGGTTATGTTTTTGAATTATAACTTCTTTTTTAATATTGTTGAACAAATCAGAGAGCACTTTAAATTTATTTTCAAGTTCTTTGACTTTTTTAATTAATATAAGGATAGTTTCACTAATATTGGAAAAAGATGTAGATCTATTTTGAATATTAGTATAAGCAGCTTCGGTATATGTCATATTATTATGAATATTACTGTAATTGATATTTGAGGATATGATGGTCTATACTGTTTAGGTTTGAAATATTTCTATAAGGGTTTGTATAGATTAGTAGAGATTTTCTTAGAACAATCTTTAAATTTATGGTCTGGAGATCCACATTTTCTATAGTGTTTGTCTGCAGAACCCATCCAGTATAATACATTTCTTTTGAATTTATGTTATTGAGTGTCTAAATCTTCAATAGTGGTAAAATTAACAAATGCATAAGGTCTTAATCGATATTATTGATCTCTTAGAATGAAGCATGATTTAGCTTTAATTTGAATTAAGAAATCATGTAGGGAGCATTCATCAGTATTGAGTGATAGGTTAGTAAATTTAAGCTCAAATTATTATCAAGATCAGTGAGTTCTACTCTTAAAACGAACTCTAAAAAGAAAACAGACCAAATATTATTATAAAATTATTTGATAACATCATTACTTTTGTAAACAATGAATACAATCTGCTAAGGTTCTTTAACAATTAAGAAAAAATGGGTAATTATTTCAAATTTAGCGAAAAAATTTCATACTATTTCAGATTTAAAAAAAAGGAATATCTGATACTTTGATGTATGACTTTTCTCTACATTTAATTTTAATTGTTTAGCGTTAGAATCTGCAATCAAAAAGATTAGATTATATTGTATTTCTTATACTTTTATAATAGCATGTGTGAGGTATTTTAAACTATCGAAATACAGTAGATGATAAATTTTCTGTTTTTGGAAAGGTAGTTAGATCCTTGGAAGTCATTAAAGTGAATAAATAATATATTAATAAAATTGCATTTTTCAGTGATAGATTTTTCTTTTATGTCTGCTACATTGTCAATAACATAAAATTGAGTGGTGCAGTAATTATGTTAAATTATTGATTATTTACATTCTTGTTAAAAGTCGAAGCTTTAACTTCATCCATTTTATCTGACCAAGTCTGTTTATTTTTTCCTTTAGAGATAGAAGAAGTGCTTATTGGTTTTGATTTGCTAGTATTGTTTATTTGTTTTACATGCATGAAGTCTTTTGTTGTTTAGAAGGGAATAGGTTAATCTGTCTCTGTAGTGTTAGAAGTTGAAGAAATAATATTATTTATTTTCATGTTTAAAGTTTTAGTTGTGCTTTTGTTAGTACTATTAAGAGGTGTTTGATTGTTGGTGTTAATAGTGAGAATAATATTTTCAATAACTTTAATAATAATATTTGGAGAAGAAGTTGCCATATTTTCTGTAGTAATTTTTTGCTTTTTGTTGTTTATCAAGAGGGTTTCTAATAAAGTTTGTTTATTTGACTATGAAGTAGAGTTTACAGACTATTCGTTATTATTTCTATGTCTTATTTGTTTTTTTATTGTAAGGTTATAAGTTATTTTGAATCTAGTATTTTACTCTAGTTTCTGGCATTATAGTTACAAATAAGAGTTAGTATCAATCCTTTATCCCAATCCAATCACTAAAACAAAAGATATTTAAGAAATCTGAAAGCAATTATTTTGAGATTCATTATAAAAGAATCTCAAGCATATATAAATACCATAACTGAAGCAAAAGGAATAGTTCGAAATGTAATAATGCCAAATACTAATTTCACCATTTGGGAATCTAAAGGAAGTAAAAAAACTGTATATTAATATGTTAGAAAATGAAATAGCTTTAAGAGTTGGTAAAAAAAACAAAAAATAATTTGCTGTAACAATATTTGAACGTGAATATCTCAACATCTACCAATCCAGTTCCTATTAAATTTTATATACAGATTCAATAGATGCTGCTCTTTCAAACAAGATTAAAACCATTCCGATTCAATTACTAGAACTAGAGATATTTGAAAATAACTGAAAGCAATTATTTTGAGGTTTATCATGAAAGAATTTCAAGCAAGTGTAACTATCAAAACTGAAGCAAAAGGAACAGTCCAAAAAATAATAATATAAAACACTAATTTCATCATCTAGAAACCTAAAAAAAGTGAGAAAACTGTATATTAATATGTAAGAAAATAGGATTACCTATAAGTATTTAAAATTAATTATTTAAATTGCAAATTACTTTTTGTTGAAAAAATTTTAGTATCACATTATGAATTTGACTAATTGTAGATCAATTTTATCATATTGCAAAATATCACACTTTATAAAAAAAAAAAAAAAAGCATCAAATAAAAGTATTTTATTAAAGTATTTAATTACTTTATTTATTATGATTAATTTTTGAACAATTATTATTTTTTCTAAATTTTATTGCATTTTTAAAGTTATATTAAATAGTAATTTATATAATAATTAAAAGTTATAATTATACTGTATTATATAGAATTTTATTCTTTTTTAAATGTGTATTTAATAATAATAATTAATGAAAAATTAAAAATCTTTTATTATGAGTAAAATTCACTTTGAGTTTCATAAAAGTGTGTAAAATATATTTTATTATTCCTTCCACCTACCTGTTTCAATTTTTGCTTTATACTTTTTGATTTGTTATGCAATCTTATAAATTAACCAATCATATAACTTGTTTATATTATATCAGATCCTCTGTTTACTTTTATTTATTTACGTTATTTTTGATTTTTTTTATTTCTTATATTTAATTTCTTGCATTATAACATAGGCAGACCAAAAAAAAAGAATAACAAAAACTAACAAAAATAATAACCTCACTCTCATTCTGATACTCTAAAGCAATAACTAAATAAAAAACAAAATATTCTATAAACTACTGAACCTGAAAGTAGTGTTCCCACTAATAACAATAACAGTGAAACTTTAGTTATTATAGACGTTGACCCCTTTCACTCAATAAAAGAAAGAGCAAAGAAGTTTTAAAAACAATTTTAGGTAGCACTTCTAACCAATTGTAATGAATGTTGATGATGCCAATAACACTTCTGAAAATTTTTTGAATAACAAGAAAGTTCTCAAGAAATTTTTAAAAAAAAAATGAACTTTTTCACATATTTTCTAGCTGACGACTACCCTGAAAAATCCTCTCAAACAAAAATTTCTAATATCACTAACCTCATTTTTAACCAGTTTGACTCATTTTCAGGTGTTGTATTTGTCAAACACCTAGAAGACTAATTGAAGAAAATCTTAAAAGCAACATTTTCTGATAAAGATAAAAGGGACATATTTTGTAAAGTTAACTTGCCTAATTTGGATAAACACACATTTTTACCTTTAATATTGTATAAAAATATTTATTTATTTCATAATAATCAATTAAAATTACTGAAATACTATTGAATACTACAAAAATTTGAATCAAAAAGATTTTTTTCTGATTTGGAAAGATCATTAGATTTAATATAGAAACTAAAAATCTCTAGCAACAAGCAATGATTACATATGATACTGACACTAATTTTATCAAACTAAAGAAAAGTTATAGTATTTTTCTTCTCAATAATATGGTTCAGTTCCATATATGTGATCTTTCATGTGATAAAATCTTAAAACGTTCAAAATTTTTAGCTAACCTTACATGCTTTTCTCATTATACTACAGGTAAAGACTTATCTGAACTTAGCTTAATAGTTAATATCACAGCTTAGATCACCCCTAAAGCTAGATCTAACTATCATAATTTACAACACACATTTTTCTATTTTTTCTCAGCTGATAACTATGAAGCTACAATCAATAATAATAACTTTACCATCAATGGTAAATATATAGAATGGACTGAGATCAAAGTCCGCTTATGTGTTATTTATTTCTTATTATATCACAAAATTAAAGATTACCTAAAAAAGCATTGCACTCCTCAAGACTATAGCTAAAGCTCCGAATAGTTCAGATTAATCTGAAAATTTTCGGTTCGGATCAACTTCGGTTTGGTTTCGGATTGCAAAAATTTCAATCCGAAAATTTTCGGTTCGGTTCAGATTTTTTTCGAATTATAAATCTAATCCGAACTGAAAAAAATCCGAACTGAACCGAAAATTTTGAAATTTCGGATCATTTAGAACGATGAAATTATCATTCTAAATGAACGATAAAAGAATCGTTCAATTAGAATGATTAAATTATCGTTCTAAACGAAGAAAATCATTCATTTAAAACGATTAAAGTTATCATTCCAAATGAACGATAAAAGAATCGTTCAATTAGAATAATTAAATTATCGTTCCAAATGAACGATAAAAGAATCATTCATTTGGAACGATTGAAGTTATCATTCCAAATGAACGATAAGAAAATCGTTCAATTAGAATGATTAAATTATCATTCTAAACGAATGATAAGAAAATCGTTCGTTTGGAACAATTGAAGTTATCGTTCCAAACGAACGATAAAAAAATTGTTCGATTGGAATGATTAAATTATCGTTCTAATCGAATGATAAAAAAAATCGTTCATTTAGAATGATTGAAGTTATCATTCCAAATGAACAATAAAAGAATCGTTCGATTGGAATGATTTAA